TCAAAACACTTCAAACACTTCGATGGTGACATATATTATGTTCGCAGGTTTGGAGGTCCCTATCGTTGCCTATTGGCTAATATCCGCAGAACAATTTGCAGCGTTGAAAAAAATTAGACAACCTGCGTTAACCATTATTCGAACTGTTGAATGCAATACACTATGAATGGAATATAATATTTATTAGGCACTTCTGAATAACCTCTGGATTTGTGCATTGTTGCATGTGTTATATCACCGCATTCGTATTTTTTTCAAGGATTTTGATGCATTTTGAGAGAAATTCTGTTGAAGTTCACGAACATAATATAAAATACGGATTTGGTACTCTTCGGTTAAAATCAGGTTGAAATTGTGTACTTTTGGTAGAATCTGGGCATGAGATTTCATAGAGATGACAGATGTCTACATGATGCAATATTCATCCTATTTTGTGGTTTGCATGGATTTGTTTAATTTTGCGTGGATGCTCCTCAAATATCTGTGCATTCGTACGACTGCATACTCAAATGAAACAGATTTGAAACGAAGTGTACTGAGAATGACAGGTGGGTAATCTAGACAATCAATGTGATTTCTTGAGCTCTTGTTAGATAGATAGATCATTCTCATTTTTTAAATACATTGTGAATTGGACAACATGAGTCAATTCATTTTACTTGTTCTAACAGATGCAGCTATTTCCAAATAGTATGAATCAAGGGTCAACTTCATCATATGGATGTATACTCATAGAATGTATGACATAAAATTGACGAGGAACACACTGGAGTACCATTAACCCAGTAGCATTAGGGTTCCCAAATTATATCGAAACGACCATCATTCACGATTATTACTTTTTAGTCTGAAAATAACATCATAATGATTCTCTCTGAAAATGTCCGTGTTGAGTTTTGAAATAACTGATGCATACATAATATGAATTAATAATTGATATTAATCAAATCATGCAAAGTTTTCACAGATTCGCATAATAAACAAATTGCAGTTTATTGAATAAGCTCCTGATGAACTGCTTTTGGTATTTAGTCGATGAACTACGGGAATTTCAATAAAATTATCAAAATGATTGCGAAACTAATCCAAATTATCGACAATGAAAACGATACATCAGCAGCAGTTGATTTGGAAACCAATCGAAGGTTATAATGCAAGAATGCGGAATTTCTGATTGAGCAAAAACAAACAGGGTGGTAGTGGTAGTGGTAGTGGTAGTTGACAATCCCCTTTACTCGAAGTGATATCTTGATCGAGAGAGCAATAGAATCATTCGAACCCTCTGAATATCCTGGCGAGGAAGGTATATTTTCAGCTCTGTTGCAAAATGAACTGTGATAACTTGTACACATTCTCACAAACTGTAAGGAGCTAATCTTCTCCTCCATCTCTTGGGGTACACGAAATAGAGATTGCGGTGCCATATTTATTGATACAGAAGGCGCTTGATAATGCTCTACCAAACTTCATTGAATCAGCCTTGGCTGTGAGGTCTCCCACAGAAGGAAGGTAGAGCTGTATACTTATGCTAACAACTTTGTCAACTATGTTCTATTGGCAAAGACCATGACGATTGAGGTAGCACCAAATAATAGCACCTAGAGAAAGGATGCAAATAAATCCGCGCGGCTCGCTAATGGCACCAAACATTTTAAGTTCGATGCTGAAGGTTCGCGTATGAATCGATATTTTACATATGATATCGATGGAAATAGAATGGTCAATTAAGCAGAGTGCGTGCCTATGAATTGAATGGTCCTGGGTTCAACTCCTATTCTACCTTCCTGTTGAAGATTATTGTTAATTACCTTTTGTGAATGTTAGATTTGACCCTGTATAAGGGACTTTTGGTTGTTGTCAATTTTGACTTGAGATTAAATGAGAAACGTCTATACAGTCCAAGACTATTTTATGTTATAATTCGACCAGACAATAACACTTCCTTTTTATTTTAGAAGAGATATAATGAAAGAAATACTGTGAAGGCATTCATTGTTGAGGCCGATAGTGACTTTTCGTATCAAGGGGGTGGCTCGCTTTTTGTGGATGATCATTATCTCACGAAAAATTTGATACTACACCCTCTCATGCCAGAATGTTCATCTCGTTCGAAATAACTGATAAAATATAGGAAATCTAGTTCGAATCCTTCCGATATCAAATCAGAAGTACGGCAAAGCAAGTAATACAGTGTGAGCGATGTCAACTCGCAACACCCTCCTAATTTGGAACATGACGATCGATAAGAAATAAAATCCATGAGTAGTACTCAACAAGCTTCATTCGAAAGAGTTCACGAATCTGGAATATTCAGATTTTCAACACCTACGTCTGATTGCTGAAGTGGTAGAAATTTCAAAACGATTTTCAGGCAATTCTTTTTCGAAACATCAACTAGGTTATTAGTTATTCAATGGCAAATTTTGATTGATTGTTGATTTTTCGATTCACCCTGAGGAGTTGATATAACTGGTGAAGTAATCCAATAGGAGAATATAATAATATATCGAATAATCAGATACGAAGTTTCATCGTTGTTAGCTTTACAGGAAAATCTCTCTAGGTCAACCGAAAATTAATAAAACCAAAGTTGAGGTTCACCATTTCCAAAACTCAAGCAAACCGTTTTTCACACACTTCATCACACAGTTACTTTGAAGATCATCTCGATTGATGAAGTGCTGTCGAATATGACACAAGTAGAATGACACACAAACACACTCCAAAGACTGCAGGGGCCAAGTAGCCGTGCGGACAGAGTGTCAAAATTCTAATTCGCATTCGCTTGCCGGTCGTGGGTTCAATTCCCAGCGACAGCAGAAATTTTTCAAATGGCCCAAGAAATTGTTTGGGATCACACGTTGGAAGGTAAGGCCCTTGTCATTCCCTGCTCGCACAAGACTATCGACGACTTCTGAGGGTTGCTCGTGAGGAGGCAACCGAATGACGGATAGAACAATTTAAAAACAATCAAGATATACTGATACTTAATGTGATCATAATAATTTACCGATTTTGAAGTAATGGAATGGAAATTTGGGGTGACAATGGACATTTTTATGCATAGAGAATATTCCCTGGAATCATTTTCGATTGTATTCCAAGAAAAAAAATGGAGCATAATGAAAAATATCCCAACTTCAATTTCATGAATTTTTGGTTGACCTAGAGAGAACTTCCTGTAGAAGTCGAAACGATGAACCTCATATCTGAATATTAGAGATGTCCTTTCATTGAATGACTTCTTCAATGGTTATATCAATTTCTTAATCATATGGGATTTTGCGTTCAGATTTCGTAAAGACTTATTTCAGCTGTCGCTGAATCTAAAATGCCAGTCACAGTTTGGAAACAAAAAATGGTCCAATAGTCGTTCTTGAAATTTGAGTGATGAAAATGAGACACTTATCACGATACGATATCAAGGTAAACTCAGATAAATAATGCCAAATTATAGAAAGTGGGATGAAATGGTATAAAAGAGGGAGAAGTCATTATCACAACATTTCATTAAATGAACGAAAATTGTAGATATTCAGAGAAAAACAATCACTTTTCTGGCTATATGTCACACAAAACATTGAATCACATTCTCCCTGAATCTTTATAACAATTCATATCGATGAATACAGCTGCATGTCTTTAATTCCAACAGACCGGTTTTGACCTCTGGCTCTCATCAGTGCAAGAGTATCCCCAGATGGCATTCATGACCGCCATCTGAAGCGATCCTGACCCAACGTAAACACCTCCCAGCATTTAATATCCAAAAGACGTTCGACCAATGCGAAATGAACACAAGCCGTCTGGGGCAGTGGAAAAGAAACACTCTATGACCAAAGTTTCCACTCTGAATAAAAGGGGAGTGATTGCCAATATACTCAAAGTGGAATGAATGAGTAGCAGAGTGGGAGAAACTCAGTTATCAGCTGTCTCCTAGCTATTTGCCACGCAGAATATCGAATTAAATCCTCCAGAAATAATTGCAACGATACGTAAAGAAGAATACAGTTGCAAGAATGCTTGACTACTAACAGTCCGATTCCATGCTCTCGCTCTCATCAGTGCACGATTGTTCCCAGATGGCATTCATGACCAACATCTAGTGCGAACCTGACTCACCGTGAACACCTCTCAGCATACAATACTCACGAGGCGTTCGACCACTCCGAAATGATCACAATGCCAGAAGGGCAGAAGAAGAGAAACACTTTGAGACTAGAATCCTCATTTCGTATGAAATGGGAGTGGCTCGTTTCCCGACTGGCCAGAAAAGTTGTTGTTTTTCTCCCGTTATCTTTCAATGTCCTTTATTTCACGAACCATTGTGGTGATGACTTCGAGTGTCTGCCCTCTGTTCAATTTCAACCAATATCAGTATTTTGGCTTCCTCCTAGTTATGAAACACCGCTTTCATATTATCCGCAATGAGAATTTCAGTCTTGGTGTGTTTCTTTCTCTCTGCACTAGACGGTGTTGTGTCCATTTCGCAGTGGTCGAACGCCACATGGGTATTATAATGCTGAGAGGTGTTCACGTTGGGTCAGATTCGCACCAGATAGTGGTCACGAATGCCATCAGAGGACACTCTGGCACTGATGACAGCCTAAGCTCGAATCCAGTCTATAAGTTAAGCGTTCCTGAACAATTTAATCAGAACTGAACATTCACGAAAGAAAAACTTGAAACCGTGTCAGTCTATTGGAATTGTCGCATAGATTTCAGGAGAATCTGATACATTTTGGTCTGCGTGGTATACCCAGGAAACTAGTAGTTTTTGTCTCGTTATCTACCTTTTTTCCTCATCTTATGAACTATTATTTAATTGTGGTGATGACTACGAGTTTCTTCTTTGTTATCACAATATTCTTTCAATAGCAAAAGTAGCAATGTTGGCTCTGGATATTTTACGAGTACATGTCACCCTAGGTTACCTTGTTTCAATGTTATTGCCACAATAAGTTCCCTAATGTTTTTTTAACTTCGTTATTATTTTTCAGGTATAGTGGGTATGCTACCTACAGACCTTATAGGGATCCTTACGACGGATATAGAGCTACAAGTTACCTCTACGGTAGGCCATCCTCGACTACAATCAAAACACCCAGTGCAGCGGAAGGCGAAACAAATACTCAGTCACCCCAACAAAGCTCAGGGTAACCTCAATTTTATAAAGAAAATCAATTAGTTATAGGTAATTTGAATACATCAAATTCAGGGATCAATATAATATACTGGACTGTTAGGATTTAAGAATGAATAATTGCAACTAATCAGGGATGACTGGAATTGGATCCTCAACATTGATGTTTCTTGAATCGTGAAGGATACAAGGTCGGTTGAATTATTCTAATATTGCGCAATTGTTTGTCAAACAAAAAATTCTGTTTAGAAAATTGAAAAATTCCAAATACTTTGGGAGATATCGGAAGAAACTAAAAAAATCTGCTGAAAGCCTGTTTTCTTGTGCTGTTCGAAGGAATTGATTCAAATGAATGATACTTGATACTTTTTTTTTTCTACAAGTTGGCGTTTTTTGATTCCAAAACCCAACGTTTTGTGCTCCAGGAACCATCATCAACTTTCTTCAATACAGAACTGGACTTTTTATCTGATTTTTTATGAGCTATTACAGTTTCTTTCCAGAATATTTCTTTTACAAAGATCTCGCCAGTTTTTTTTATATTCAATAAGAAACTACCATTGAAACATGTTTCTTGATTTATATACAGGGTGTCCCAAAATCAGCCTGCCCAACCTCCAGCGGCTTCTACGATCAATAATAGGAAGAAAAGTTTCATTGAACATGAGACGAGAAATGTCTTCTAATGGAGGTATGCCTCCCTGGAAGTGGGCTCCTGAAGATGATATTCCTTGAGTATTACAGAAACTTCATGATAAAATGATGCAATTCGGTACAAGAACTGAAGTTTCCATGCCCAATGCAGTGAAAATGAAATCATTCCAAAATTTTACCCAAGAGTGTGTAATACAGGGTGGGACTACATTAAATATTGTTCTCAATTTTCGAGTTGCATATTTTCAACAATTTAATATCGAATTATAAAAATCCACACCTCTTTACAAAAAAAAGGTTTTCTTGTTCCGTAACGATGAGATATATCGATATAGAGTAAAAGCGATTAAAAAATGTTGTTACATCTCGGATAATTATTAGGTTTGCATAATATTGCAATGAGTCGTAGTGGAAATGAGAAAAATTGAAGTAGTTTTTCATCATCATTTTCCTATTTTCCGCGCTGGTATGAGATTGTTTTGTGAAAAGAAAGTAGTTGATCTTTTTATAGCCACTATGATTCGAGAATTAGCAACGTTATATGCATAAGATGAGAGTGTATCAATATTTTTGAATCAATTTCACTCGAAAATGATACATCTGATCAATAGGAAACTTGTAGGCTTTTTTTTGTGAAAAGGTGGGGATTTTCGAAATCTGAGATTAAATTGTCGAAACATGCATACAAAAAAGTTTGAGCAATATTCGTATTCCTACCCTGTATAATACACTCCTGAATTCAACTTTGGAATGATTGCAAGTTCACCGCATTGGACATGGAAAATTTGGTTTTCTCAACAAATTGCATCATTTAATCACGTGGCGTTTCGAAAATCTTCAAGGCTAATTTTGGGACACCCATAATATAACCCTGCCTCTGGGCAGCCCTGAGGTTGGAGGAGATAAAATGGAAATTTCAGATCCGTATTTGAAAAAAAAAATAAGTTGATGATGATTTCTGGAAGATGAAACGTCGGATTATCGATTTGAAAACTTCAACTTGTAGAAAGGAAAAGTGGCCATGATGAGGTGGCATTCATTTGAGATAATTTCTTCGAATTACTTGAAAAAATGAGATTTCAGGAATCAACATTTCTTCATCGGTTATCTCCTGAAGTTTTCGCTATAATTCAATCGACCATATATCTCTTACAGGTCACGAGATCTAACGATGAGGTTCAAATTCCAGTAATAACCCTGTATACAGTGTCTTCGAGAGGTACTGATTGAATTAATGTTTCTCTGATTCATCCATTATTATTGTATGTTATGAAACAGGTCGAATTTGCCATATCTAAGAGGCCAAATGAAACATACAGAGTGATCAACGTTTGGGTAATGACGACTGCAACAACTTATTCAAATGGAGCACACCATATAATATTATTAAGTTTTCGGAATCCCGAAGGAGAGTGGTATTTGAAAGTTTATTACACATTGGGTTTGGATACAGGGCGTTTGTTGGATTCAGTGCTCTCGTAAAGTATAGTGGACGTCATTTCTCCTACAATCTACACGAATCATTCTGTAGGCATTAATTAGATTTGAAAGAATTCTCAGATAGAAAGAAATCTGACGGTTTCAAGCTTTACATCAAAAATTTAATTCTGCAATTTTTTGAAAATGTATCCACTCTTATTACGAGACCATCGAATTTAACGGACGCAATTCCAACAAACTCTATGGTCATAATAGATTCTCGAAACCAGCGTGTCATGAAGATTCCAGAAATTGAATTATATTTTATAGGGTATTCCATTTGCGAAACGTATCAAATGTGGATAACTCTTTATATTCAATTTTATTTTATGAATGTGGCAAATTGAGGTACAAAATCGGACTGCTTCACGAAATTCCACATAAATGGATGGCTAAAAATGCATCCATTGGGTAGTTCACGAAAGCACTGTATTTTATCAATACTATAGAATAAATATCAAATGAAGGGAAAATGATGTTATCTTGTGATTCCTCTGAATGTTAAGACAATTGGGTGAGGCGATTGTAATGAGTTCGTTGTCACTCAGTGAGTTAGATTTTAAATTGGTCATATATTTCTATACAGAGTGTTTTGTTACTAAAGGGACATACTGGAAACATGAAGAAGGATAAATATACTGAGCAGGTACATGTCTTTATAGGTTGATCGAGTTGATGTAAGATAATATTTCTAGATTTCTTGGGATATCCTTCTCTCGTTTCTATAAGCGGAGAATGCGATTCTTTTCATTTGACCCAACATGTCACTGCGTTGGAGATTTCACTTCCAGAAAGCTGAAAGAGAAATTCCTCACTAATAGCTAATGACTCCTCATATGTCAGACTGTGCAACTTCAAAATAGCTGATATATTTCAATCAACTCCAATGTCCCCCAGTATACAGTTTTCAGAACCTATATATACCCATTTTCAATAACAAAACATCTAGTATGAGAAATATTTCATATTTCATCTTTATGACTTTTTCATCATCGATAGTTTTCGTCAGACGACTAATAGTATTATGTTCCACTGTCATTTTTTATTCCACATGATTTCGCATTGTCCACTATGCACTGTGATTCATAGCCAAACTCAATTCTTCGAGAGTATTATTTACAAATGTAATTGAAACTGTATAAGTTATTATATACGAAACTTGTGAAGACACGAGAGATACATACAGACGGACTTGTTTTGCTGTGTAGGTACCAACTTGATGTTTTTCACGAATAAAACATTTCTATTTAAATTATCGTTTTACTTGAAAATTATTTTTCAGAACATTTTCGGTATACCGACATCTATAAAGATTTCTATATTTGATTATACAACGAGCACGGAATGATAATATAGTGATTTTCTACGAGAATGATGTTCGCAGCATGAGCCGATGGCTAATGGCACAATCATGAGTTTTCCACGGTTTTAACAAATAACAACGAAATTTTCGATTTCTTCGTCTTGGAGCCATCTGATTAGCTCTCAAGTAATGTGCATCTATCAGACAGAGCTGTCATTGCTAGAAAAATGGAAATAGAATTGGTGGGAAACAAATTACCCAATTGATGTATCGATCACAGTGAACCAAGAGCAATGTTATTGTTGAATCCATAGAAAAAATATATTTTTGTAGAAATCGATGAACATTTTGTTACTAATATAATGACTGTAATGATCCGATCACAATCGTGATTCACAATGCTTCAAGAAATCTTATATATAGGATATTCTAGTTTTTAACTCAAAAATAGCATATTCAGTCACAGACACGACAAAAACTATCTCAATTAATTCTCATTTCATAACTCCATAATACAAAACCCATTGAATGTCATTCAGTGAGTAAAATTTACGTAGTTTTCACTCTGGATATTGACTTCAGGAAGTAATTATCCCGATAGCACAACTTCCTAGAATTTCTTATGAATGTATGCAACTTTGAATACATATAGTTACGCTTATCTCTCCAAGACAACTCGTCGCTACTTTATTCATCACCTATTGATTGAGTCTATTCTTTTTCTACGGCTATAACACAAAATCGCTCTTGTTTTAGGTACTGTGTTCGATACATCAATGAGGTACTTTGTATGTTATCAATTTCATTTCCGTATCTGATATCACAATGACTCCATTGTGTTATTATTTCAAAAAAATCTCATCGTTCATGGAATGTCAAATTGTAAGCAATGACAGCTCTGTCTAATAGATGAGCATAACTTGACAGGAAATCAGATGGCTATACAAGCCGAAGAAATCGAAAATGCCGCTGTTATTACAGCAGTGAAAAAATCATAGTGTATAACTTGCACGTAATGCTATTTTCCAACCCGAATGATTGGAGCATTCGCCTATGGCTCATGCTGCAAACTTTATTCTCGTAGAAAATCACTATCATTTCGTGCTCGTTGTACAATACAGTGTGTCCATTAAGTGCGTAATTCTTCGATATCTCGAAAACCATTACCACAAGAGAAGAATTCTTGAGAACAAATTCAATCCGTTCTAAAAGGTTTCCATTTCTGGAATATTTTCAACAATACTGGGTGATTTATGAAAGCGGGACAACTCGGAGACAAGTTTTTTTAAATAGAACACCCAGTATTTTTTATCGGGATTTATTCCTTTGAGGTATAGCCCTACATCACTGTGAAAAAAAATTATTTGGTTGCGGCGTTGCCAAGATATAATTGATGAACCCATTTTCACTACTATTGAAGGGTCCTGTTGAATTGGGTATGGTATATTCATTTATCAAAATTTTGTAGATATTTTTGACATACAGTAGTAGCAGGGTCTCACATACACCAATCCAGTAATTTTGCGAGACAATTTTATCCAGGGTGCTCGAATTTACATTCTGAATATCGTAAGATTCAGACGACGTTCATTTGAACTTTCCAGATGGAACACCCTGTATTTTTTATCACAGATTTATCTCGGCATCATTCGCCTTATAATCGCTGATAAAAAAATCGAAATCGGTTGCGGCGTTCTCAAGTAATGAGTAATTTTCTTATGTTTATCACTATCTAAGGGTTACTTAAAATGCATGGTTCCTTCATTCGAATCGAGAGTGGGAATATTGCTTGCCACATGATATCCGAGGTTCTACATAGATCATTCAGGTATTTTCGCGAAATGTGCATTGTCCAAATTTATAATATTCCGTAATCTTGTTACTTATGATTTGAATAATATGTATACCTATGTGAAACAAACAAACATGCCAAGAGCAACGCCTGCCTTCAAAACAACTTCTACAATATAAACAATGAAGATTTTGGATTGCGAGAATAAGAACAATTTTTTCAAATTTGAGCCACTTTGATTGTCGTTATTCCCACAATCCAAATCTTCATTCAACTTGAAGGAAGTGAACGTAATAATATACAAACAATATTTTTTAACTACGAAGGTTTCGGGAAGGAATTCAGCAAGATTTAAAAAAAATTCAACCTAAATATGTTTGATTGTCGCGATGTTTGACAAGTCATTACACGAACATAACTGTATTTCGAAAAATTGACTCATAGTCTGCAAAAAATCTGTGATAGTTGCATTTTGGTTAAATTCATCAAAACCCACTCTATTCAAAATTCAGACTTGGAGAGCCAGTAAATGTTGCTATTGTGAAAAAATATATGAATGGTCAATGAAGAAATCTGATTATACCGTAGCAACGCAATATTTCCACAATACAAATGAATGAAAGAAGTATGACGTACAAATTACCTAGAAATAGTAGTAAAAATAAGGAAATTATCCATAACTTGACAACATCGCAACCGATTCAAGTTTTTGTTCAGCGATAAAAAGGAGAAAGATGTCGAAATAGATTTGTGGATGAAAGTACAGGGTGTTTCATTTGAAAAATTCTAATGAATGTCATCTGAATCTTGCGAAATTCTAAATGCAAAATTGAACACCCTGTTGAAGAACATGTCGCAAACTTACTGGATTGGTATACGTGAGAACTTGCTACTACCGTATGCCAAAAATATTTTCAAAATTCGCATAAATGAATATACCATGTCCAATTCAACATGAATCTCCAATAGTGGTGAAAATAGATTTATCAGTTATAACTTGGGAACGCCGCAACCGGTCCAATTTTCTTTAGAGCGATGTGAAGGTAAACCTTGGTGAAATAAATTCCGAATAAACAATACTGGGTGTCCCATTTAAAAAAGCTAGTCTCCGAGTTGTCACACTTTTAAAAAACACCCAGTAATGTTGAAAATATTTTTGAAATAAGCAACTTCAGTAACTGTAAAAGTTTTGCCTCCAAAGTTTTTCTCTATAGGTTATGGCTTTCGAGATATCGAAGAATTACGCACTAAATGGACACACTGTGTACTATTTTATATGGCTAAAACATGAAAAATTTCTGTTATTAAACAATGTTCGATGAATCATTGGGGTTATATGAATGTCATCAATTTTATTTCCGTATCTGATATCACAATGATTTCATTCTGTTATTATTTCACAAAATCTTATCGCCCATGAACTGTAGAATTTCAAGCAATGACAGCTCTGTCTTATATATGATCATTAGATAGGAGAGAATCAGATGTCTACAAGCCAAATAAATCAAAAATTTCGCTGTTACCTGTTTCAGCTGTAGAAAAAGCATAGTGTATAACTCGCACAGAAATCAAATTTCCTACTCGTATGATTTGCAGCATGAGCCCTAGGCATTCTCGTGGAAAATGACTATCATTCCATGCTCGTTAGTGGGAAGATTCAACTTTTCAGTAGAAACATTATTTTCAGTCATCTATACAGGGCATGTCACGACGAGCTTACACTATCTTTATATCAAGAATCAGTCGAGAGAAATCCATGGAAATATACATGCTTATATTTGAAAATACGATATTTTCATTTGAATTGTTTTCAGCACTGCAGTGTTGCCGTTTCTATAAAAAAGTAGCAACAACTTTGTTATTTCGAATTGAATACCCTGTATTTTATTGCACTTTGAGAATCTCCCTGGGAGGCTGATCTCGTCGATACATCACAGTTGGGGTCTATCGGAAATGATTACAGAGATATGATGTGTTCAAAATCGAGATTCTTCAAATTTAGGATTTTTTGTGTCAAAACTATTTATTATCGGCCAAAACTGCCCACATGTCCCTATCCCAACTCTTGATTTACTATTCACTGATTGTCAATCGGAACAGCTACAGGGTGATCAGAATGCTGAATCTTGAACCACCTTGTATCTGTTCCGATTGAATATCAGTAAATAGTGAATCAGAAGTTGAGATTGAAACATGTGAGCCGTTTCGATCGATAATGAATAGTATCGACACAAAAAAATCCGAAAGTTGAAAAATCTCGATTTTGAACACCCTATATCTCTGTGATCTTCTTCGATGTTATATCAAGATATATAAAATTTCCATAAAAACCCTTTTATTAAACTGGCCAATGACCAAATTACGCCCTCTAGCAGCTGTGCTGGAGACCTCAAAATAATTTACAGACATTTCTCTTGGCCACTTTCATCATTCATATTTTTTTTCGAAATCTGTGCGGCAAATAGTTAACGAGATACAGCCGGCGTCCTTACTTAGTGCTACACCCGGTACACACTAGTCGCATTCACGCCACATACCTATTTTATATTGATCATTCCGTGTATGCATATTGGTTGATGCAATCATTCGTTATTTGAAATTACCGCAAATATTTGTTTTCAATAATTGAATTTGAATTGTGGCTTTCGCATAAAAAGTGGAACCACATATCTCGATGCGGCCAGATTCGCAACTAGTAATTACCTACTGAGACTCAATATGACTAATCAAAATAGTATTCACATTCACAGGATACAATAGCTCGACCCAGGCTTGAGTTTTGATGGCGATGAATTCAAATAGGTTCATAAATGAAAACCCAAAGTCATCTCCACAACATTTATCAAAATGATCAAAGATCTATCGCATAAATGAACATGTTTCGTGGTCATATAAGCCCATCATCAGCCAAAAGAAAATATCATAGTTCTAGAAATATCGGTATTCATTCTGACTGAAATAACAATCAGAAATATTCTTTCACGTGTCTATCAGGAATGAAGATTTGATACGTAATCAATCAATCAATACGTATCGCGACTATACAACATGTTGGGTGTGAAAGCATTCTCTCAACTATATAGGAGATATAAGGACAGGACTGTATACCCTGAAGATAGTTAAAATAATTATAATTTTTTCAAAGGATACATT